TCCGGATATGAATAGGCCCCAATACCCCATGCCTGTCTCGTTGCTGGGAGTCCGGGTCTAAATAGGCCCCAGTAGCCCATGCCTGTCTGTTTGGGAGTCCGGGTCTGAATAGGCCCCAGTACCCCATGCCTGTCTCTTTGTTTGGAGTCCGGATCTAAATAGGCCCCAGTACCCCATGCCTGTCTCTTTGTTGGGAGTCCGGATCTAAATAGGCCTCAGTACCCCATGCCTGTCTCTTTGTTGGGAATCCGGATATGAATAGGCCCCAGTCCATGCCTGTCTCTTTGGGATTTCAGGTCTGAATAGGCCCCAGTACCCCATGCCTGTCTCTTTAAAATTTGTTGGGAGTCCGGGTCTAAATAGGCCCCAGTACCCCATGTCTGTCTCTTTGTTTGGAGTCCGGATCTAAATAGGCCCCAGTACCCCATGCCTGTCTCTTTGTTGGGAGTCCGGATCTAAATAGGCCCCAGTACCCCATGCCTGTCTCTTTGTTGGGAATCCGGATATGAATAGGCCCCAGTTCTCCATGCCTGTCTCTTTGGGATTTCAGGTCTGCATAGGCCCCAGTACCCCATGCCTGTCTCTTTGTTGGGAATACGGATCTGAATGACCCAAGTACTCCATGTCTGTCTCTTTGGGAGTCCAGGTTTGAATAGGCCCCAGTACCCCATGCCTATCTCTTTGCTGGAGGTCCGGGTCTAAATAGGCCCCAGTACCCCATGCCTGTCTCTTTGTTGGGAGTCCGGGTCTTAATAGGCCCCAGTCCCCATTTCTTGTCTCTTTGTTGGGAATACGGATCTAAATAGGCCCCAGTACCCCATGTCTGTCTCTTTGTTGGGAGTTTGGATCTAAATAGGCCCCAGTACCCCATGCCTGTCTCTTAGTTGGGAGTCCGGATCTAAATAGGCCCCAATACCCCATGCCTGTCTCTTTGCTTGGAATACGGATCTAAATAGGCCCCAGTACCCCATGCCTGTCTCTTTGTTGGGAGACCGGATCTAAATAGGCCCCAATACCCCATGCCTGTCTCTTTGTATGGAGTCCGGATCTAAATAGGCCCCAATACCCCATGCCTGTCTCTTTGTATGGAGTTCGGATCTAAATAGGCCCCAATACCCCATGCCTGTCTCTTTGCTTGGAATACGGATCTAAATAGGCCTCAGTACCCCATGCCTGTCTCTTTGTTGGGAGTCCGGATCTAAATAGGCCTCAGTACCCCATGCCTGTCTCTTTGTATGGAGTTCGGATCTAAATAGGCCCCAGTACCCCATGTCTGTCTCTTTGTTGGGAGTCCGGATCTAAATAGGCCCCAGTACCCCATGCCTGTCTCTTAGTTGGGAGTCCGGATCTAAATAGGCCCCAATACCCCATGCCTGTCTCTTTGTTGGGATTTCGGATCTAAATAGGCCCCAATACCCCATGCCTGTCTCTTTGTTGGGAGTCCGGATATGAGTAGGCCCCAATACCCCATGCCTGTCTCTTTGTTGGGAGTCCGGATATGAATAGGCCCCAATACCCCATGCCTGTCTCTTTGTTTGGAGTCCGGATCTAAATAGGCCCCAGTACCCCATGCCTGTCTCTTAGTTGGGAGTCCGGATCTAAATAGTCCCCAGTACCCCATGTCTGTCTCTTTGTTGGGAGTCCGGATCTAAATAGGCCCCAGTACCCCATGCCTGTCTCTTTGTTGGGAGTCCGGATCTAAATAGGCCCCAGTACCCCATGCCTGTCTCTTAGTTGGGAGTCCGGATCTAAATAGGCCCCAATACCCCATGTCTGTCTCTTTGTTGGGATTTCGGATCTAAATAGGCCCCAATACCCCATGCCTGTCTCTTTGTATGGAATCCGGATATGAATAGGCCCCAGTACTCCATGCCTGTCTCTTTGTTGGGAGTCCGGATCTGAATAGTCCCCAGTACTCCATGCCTGTCTCTTTGGGATTTCAGGTCTGAAAAGGCCCAAGTACCCCATGCATGTCTCTTTGTTGGGAATACGGATCTGAATAGGCCCCAGTACCCCATGCCTGTCTCTTTGTTGGGAATACGAATCTGAATAGACCTCAGTACCCCATGCCTGTCTCTTTGTTGGGAGTCCGGATCTAAATAGGCCCCAATACCCCATGCCTGTCTCTTTGCTTGGAATACGGATCTAAATAGGCCCCAGTACCCCATGCCTGTCTCTTTGTTGGGAGACCGGATCTAAATAGGCCCCAATACCCCATGCCTGTCTCTTTGTATGGAGTCCGGATCTAAATAGGCCCCAATACCCCATGCCTGTCTCTTTGTATGGAGTTCGGATCTAAATAGGCCCCAATACCCCATGCCTGTCTCTTTGCTTGGAATACGGATCTAAATAGGCCCCAGTACCCCATGCCTGTCTCTTTGTTGGGAGTCCGGATCTAAATAGGCCCCAATACCCCATGCCTGTCTCTTTGTATGGAGTTCGGATCTAAATAGGCCCCAGTACCCCATGCCTGTCTCTTTGTTGGGAGTCCGGATCTAAATAAGCCCCAGTACCCCATGCCTGTCTTTGTTGGGAGTCCGGATCTAAATAAGCCGTTGTACCCCATGCTTGTCTCTGTTTGGTATTCCGGGTTTACATATGAAACAAATACAAATGATAAAATTCTGCGCATTTTATTCGAATTGTACATTTTTTTTATCGCATGTCGTGTAAAGTAATGTAATTTTATCGAAAAATCGTAATAAGGTTTTTTTTTCAAATTATGAAGTATGTATTTGTAGAGATTCAATTCCGTTTGAAAATGTAACACATCGGCAAGTTCATTCAGGATGTTGACACTGCCTGACGTGGGGGACTTGAAGTTTAGTCAGCAACTACATGGAATAGACCAGCCCCAAGCGCAAACTTCACGGGGCCACATGACCGGGTACGCTGGGTAGTTATGCCGACTACTGCCTTATAGTTAGTGACAGTAACGCATGCAATGTAACACAATCCTTACATCAGTTAATTTACATAACGAGACCGCTCAGCGGAGCCGCATTTTAGTATTTAGTTTATGCGTAACTCATGACAGACCCGAGAGAGTAGTTCTTTTTAGAATTAACTGTTGTACTGGCGCAGTTTTTGCTTTAACATGGGGCGGGGTCTTTGATCACGTACAATGAAGCCCAATTTGTGTGGAGCTGTTTACCAGGAAGTCCAGCTTTCAAATGGTTCTATTGTTAGCGTCTTTATAGTAAAGGTTCCACCTTCCCTAAAAATGTGTTGAATAAAACCATTGATATGAAGTAATTGTTGTATTTACTGTTTTTGGAACAAGTTCCTAATATTCTTGGTCAATTATGGAATGTTTGCTGACAGAATGGGGACAGAGGCAGAATACTGTGAATATTTGCTTTTAAACAGAGGGGCAAAGAAAGCACAGCGAGTTTGATTTTTATGTAGCCTGCAAACTCGGGGTATCGCGATACTTGTCATGTACGTTAAACGGAACAAAATGCGCTCACTAACCTTTATGATTATTCGTGTTCTCTTTATCAGATGTCATTTATTTTATCTAACAATGCATATTTACTGATAAAAGTTCATTATTTGCATTAGTAGCTACGAGTAAAAGCCGGGCCTCGCGCTCAGTTTGACAAGGGAGAGAACTCCATCGTATCGCAGTACAGAGAAAAGTTGTGTATGGAGGTCCGAATTGGACAAAAAGTGGACATAAATCTGCCAACCACTTAGTATGATCATGCCATACATCAGTGATTTGTCCAGACAAGTGCAAAGACAGCACAAATAAAATTCTAAATGTGTTATCAGAAATAGGTATTCAATGCATATTTACCGAAAAGTAAGCGAAACGTATTTTAAAAAATCAACAACAAAATTTCAGAAAAGATCGTTTTTTAAAAAAAATGGATGACAATAATTTGTCACAAAATGGATAAATGTTAAAAGTCAACAATAAATATATAAAAAGCACCCTACTATGCCCAAAGTATGTATTTATCTTTTGGCTACAAGTGAAGAACGTATTTCTAAGTTTGGCATTATGGCCCTTATGATCTCCCAATACATTCTGGGCACAGAGCGGCAAAAAATGTGCGGACTACGTAACTTCCGTTACCTTATTACTCGCCATGAATATGCAGATGATCTAGTTCAGGTCGATAGAAAAAGTTTACTTGGGGAACTGCGGGTTATATCGTTGGCCATTGATAGATGGGGGTAAGACAATATTAAAAAAAGATGGCAGAAGTAAGTATCATCGCATTAATAACTCCTTACTTACAGCAGAGGGAACATTCCGAGGAAATTGAAATTGTTTACGAAGTGAGCACTTCCTGGTTATTGATTTGCATTAATAGACAGCCGCTAAGAGGCGTGTCCCGCGTGAACTACCGGAAATCACAAATGCCGCGATACGATGAATGCCGCGGTACCACGGGGTCCGAGTATACTTCAAATTGAAAGGACTGTTGATAAATTTGATTATGTTTATTCAACAGCCACTCATTCTGTGGCTGGGAAATTTTGTGTAAAAATAAATTTATTTAATTCTTGTGCTCCTCAGATTTTATAAGTGTGTTCCCTGAGAAGAGGAGGCGATCAATTTCTTTAGGACCACAACAATGATTTCAAGACATCGAGTGAACAGCTACTCTTTTTTATACAAACCTGAGCACTATTACTCCCCGCAGTATTATCTGTGCACATGAATCCTTTATATGTACACATTGTTGGGTTCACAAAGAAATATTGGTCGAAATATTTCCGACATATGGTATCGTATTTTGAACCAAATAAAAAAGGAAACGATCCACGTCCTTGATACGTCCTAACTTAAATGTTCAATAGCCCTTCTTTTCTCGCCAGTCCTACCTGATGTACTTTTTAATAACGACTACCTTTAAGGTAGGGACTTCTATTGGAAATAAGAGTGGCTTTTCCTTGAAATCTGGTTGTTAAAAAGTACCCGGCGTTGTTGTTATCCGCCATCATTTATCTTCATACTATGATGAAATCGCATTCATTATTTTCAGGCAAAACAAATATAGCAGACGACTTGATCCAACGAGTGACGATTCTGTGTTTTATTGTGATCGCGGAAGACCAAGTTGTCGCGAAGAGATCAGTCTACCAGCAGACATGGGGCCGGAGATGTGACCGTCTTCTTCTCTTCAGCACAAGTGCCACAGATCCTGACACAATTATTCTCAAGGTCCCTAAAGCTGGGCATCCAGTGGAGGACGACTCTTACGCCTCTCTGCAAGCTTTGAAGTACATATACACACATCATTTAGAGGAAGCGCATTGGTTTATCCGAGTCCATCCTATGACGTTTGTTGTTCTTGAAAACCTCCGTTATTTCCTCAAAGACGAAGATTACAACAAACCTATCTACTTCGGCCAGGTTCTCAGAGAAGGTAACGCTGTCTTCCCGCTAGGGAGCGCCGGTTATGTTATCAGCAGAGAAGCAATTTCAAAATTCGGGGCATCCAGTCCACCGAAGACAAGCTGTAAAGGAAGCACTTCCTCCGAATGTCTTGTTGTCGCGGAGTGCTTCCGGCATCTGGGCATCATCCTGGGCGACTCTCGGGATGCACTGGACAGAAGTCGGTTTCACGGCATATCCGTGGAGTCGGTTTCTGTACATGAATATCCTGCATGGTTCGCTGAATTAGACGTGCATCATAACATGACAAAGCAGGTAATGTCTGTCATACATGGACTGTGTATTTAGCAATGCATTTAACAACATCACAGTCACGCCAAGGCACACAGTGCAATTGTAGTCGTGTGTGGAATCCTACTCTGGCCTTACACATGAAAACCCAAGGCTGAAGCATTGGAAGCAGGAAACCTTTGGTTTCCCAAACTACCCTCATTGTAAGAAATGATTTGCCACTAAGCGCAATAAGTTCTTATCAGATCACAGAGCGAAAAATGAATTGTTACATATGCATTATACAAAAGTGTTTTGCCCCGGATCAAGATTGTTTGCGAGAGAGTTAAAAAAAAAAAATAGTACTCAGCTCGTTTTAGAAACACATGTTTCCGTGCAACACCAGTTATTTTATAGCAGCAGATTTCAAATAACGTCAGCTCCCCTTATGTCAATGTATCTCTGGTGAAGACCGATTCGCGGATTCGTGTATCTAAAGTTCCTTACATGATTAAGACAACAATATTACATCTGGTCTCGCTGATGATATACTGAACAACAAAAGTTCCTGTGACATTGAATAAGATTGAATGCACAGTTATGTTTTTTACCAAATCTGAAACAATTTCGGTTTGAAACAGATAAAAGACTCCTTTAAGTGTTCTAATGGTTTAATTTGCCATACTGACTTCAGAAAATGCGTGATTTTATAAAAAACAACAACCCATGAACATGCCAAAATGTCAATTTACAAATCAATAGCGTGTGTGTCCACCTCTGGTTGCGATGCAAGCAACACATCTTCGTCTCATGGAATGGACCAGGCGTCGCATAAAGTCCTGTGGGATATCTGTCCATATCTGCTGGAGCATGTTTCGATGTTCCTGGAGTGTCTGTGGAACACGTGGTTGACGTCGAAGGTGCCGATCCATCTCATCCCACATGTGCTCGATTGGTGAGAGATTAGGGGAGCGAGCCGGCCGGGGATGACATGCACGTTGTTTTGTTGAAGAGATTCCTGAACAAGTCGAGCAATATGAGGCCGGGCGTTGTCATGTTGAAAGGGAATGCCTGGGCCATGACGACGCAAAAACGGTAGAACAACAGGGCCGATGATCTCGTTGCGGTAGCGCTGTCCATTGATATTTTTCTCTACCACTATCAAACGGGTGCACTGTCTTGCTGTAATCCCACCCCAAACCATAACGCTGCCGCCCCCGAACCGATCTTCTTCCATGACACAATGATTGACGTAACGTTCACCTTGAGGTCGGTACACTCGATTCCGCCCATCGCTGTGGCTGAGGTGAAAACGAGACTCGTCAGTGACGTTATCCCCACTGCATGGCCGTCCAGCGTAGACGCTGTCTGCACCACTGTAGACGTACTTGACGGTGGTGTCCTGTCAAAATTGAACGTCTGGTGGGTCTTCTGGCGACAATCCCTGCACATCTGAGGCGACGACGTACGGTTTGTGAAGATATTTATCAAAGGCCATGGCCAGGGATGCTTCTTGCAGTCACTGTTGCTGGCTAGAATCGATTTCGTACGTGTGTTGTTCGAATCCAGTTGTCTTGTCGATTATTGGCTACGCGTGGTCTGCCACTCCGAGGATGATCTCTTTCTGCATTCGTATGTTGCCAACGTTGCCATAAACACCAAATGGTGTTTCTGTGGACGTTAATTTGTCTTGCAACATCACGTTGACTCGATCCTACTTCAAGCATACCAATGGCTCGGAATGGAATCCCGTTAACACACATGTTTTTATACCCATTCTTGGGTAGTAAAATGCATGGCGCTTGCATAAAAGTCAACTTTTGCATGGAATGCATGCTTTTCTGTAGCAGTTGCTTTTTTGTGACTTGATTCCATACATGTACTACAACAATGAAAACCAAACTTTACTTGTTTGAAAAATATACTAAAATATTGGTGTCACAGGAACTTTTGTTGTTGAGTATATTTTGAAAAATATATATTTCCCCCTTTTCTTAGCCATTCTGACATCATGACCGGTCTCTGCGTCTCTAAAATTCCGATTTTCTGAAAACTCAAAGCCTTGTCTGCCGTTTGTGTGCGTGTTTGGTACGACAAAGAGTGTATCATGGACCCTCGTGTATATTTGTGCCTGCACTTTTGAAAATAACGGTTAGACTTTCTATATTTATTTATGTGATAGTGTTTGGATGCCTGCTGTTAAGACAAGCCAGAGCTGATGTTGTTTTCTTCTTTACGTTCTTTAATGACCTTTCTGCTCTAATGTTGCCCATATTATATAAAAATTATAACATCAGTACAGAGACGCATGGTCATCTTTTAATGTAGGTCTTGGATTAATACCAATTCATCTGTTAAGTTGGGTGCGCTCGTAAATGGCGTCTTGATTGATCAGGCGGTCTGGCTTGGTGGCTTCGTGGATAGCGTGTCTTCGTACCCGACGGCGTGGATCTTTGCTCATAATATCAATCACTGGATTGTCTGGTCCAGACTCGATTATTTTACAGGCCGCCATCATACAGTGAATATTGCCGAGTGCGGCGTTAAACAAAAAAAACACACAAAAGGGAAGGAAACTTCGTTTAAACAAATGGATTTAACGTCGAAAAATATATGTTTATTTCTCCCCACACAAGAACGTTTCAATGTCATATGTCAGTGAATGTTTAAGACTATATCGAAATAACATCTGCTGGAGGATTGGCCTAGATACTGAAAACGGTAATTAGTAATGGATTGGGGAACATTAAGACATTAACACAGATTTGGATATAGAATTAAGTATTAATTCTTACTGTGTTGTTGATTGTATTATCGTGTTGGTGGTCCCCAATACCCAATAAGAGACAACTATTTTGAGTATTGGGTGGTTAGAATGTGTTTCCTTGCTAATTATGTGTCATCATTACCCAACGGTATGAATCACCGCACATGCTTCCGATCACTGGTTTACTGGTCCCAGACTCGATCCTTTTCAGGCAGCACTGTCAAGCCTCCATGACGCTTTTCTTCCACTTGAAGTCGAATCCCTTTGGTCTTAACAGCAATTTCTTCCCGAATTTTTACATGGTTGGTTTAATGTAAAAATATCCTACAATGTCATCCTTTTTTTCTTTTCAGGGAATTAAGTCAGTAAGCGACATCAGCATCACCATCAGCCCCGTCTCGGACAGCGTCATCCTGGCACTGGAATACTTTCTGTATCGAGCCGGGGTGTATGGTGCACACCTTCCAATGACGTCACTAAACAAAATACACAGACAGTTAGCATAGGGATGATAAGCTTCTCCGTGGTGATTGTGAACACGACATTTTATGTACAGCTGTATTGGAGAATAAGATTGAGGTTAATAAGTAAGTAAATACAAATGACTATGTACTATGGTAACACTTGCTGTAACTCATGATATGACGGATCAAGCGATAATAGGAACCTTGTTTGTTGGTCAACGCCGCACTCAGCAATATTCCAACTACTGACGGCGGTCTTTAAATAATCAAGTCTGGACGAGACAATACAGTGATTGACATCATGAGCATCGATCCACGCAACTGGGATACGAGGACATGCATCCACCAAGTCGGTGAGCCTGATCAGCCGATCTCGCTAGTCGTCTTTGCAGCTGGGAAGTTAAAAACTTGTAGTTGTAAACTCCGGATTCAATATATATTGATTTCTTGAATTAATACCCAGAGAAGTATATGAAGGATTTTTACAAAAATGATACCAAAGACATTTTTGTATCACCTGTCTGCAATATATCGTATGCATACTGTACACCCTCCGGTAGCTGCTGTTTGCAGTCGTTGAGGGAACACCGGTTCAGTGTTTTTTCTCTGACGGTGTGTTTACTTCGGTTTTTACGCATGCATGCAAGCCACTTGGTGCCACTTTGGTTACATCATAATTTCATTTTAAAAAGAAAAATATTATTTAATATTTATTCCAATTATTTTCTCGAAATTTCGAGTTCTTTCTCGTCACTTCGATTATTTTCGCGTTATTTCAAGTTTATAAAAAAAAAAGCGAAATTTGGAATCATTAAAATTAATTGAAATTACGAGAAAATAATAAAACGGATGATGACACGTGGTCCTATAAACAGCGCACAGGTCACAGATCAGGTAAAAGGGGCACTGGTCTCTGGCTTCTTCTCGGCTGTTTGACATTGGTCGCTAGGGCTCACCAGCTGCCGTGAGTCGATTTGCTCGCTTACGCAACTGAGCGTGACTGGGCTACCGTCTGCAAGGACAGCTAAATAAACTTTGAGGCAATATTTGTTTTACGCATTTTTTTACTTTGTTTGGTAACCCATGATCTATGACGATTTCGACAAAGGGCGCATGTTGATTAATTTCTTCAGCTTAAACAAACAAACAAAAAGAACGGTGGCAGCTTATCGGATGTCGTTATTTGGAAATGGCGTGAAGTGGCGATGTTAAAAACAACATACTTTATTTAAAGGATTAACCGAAAATACGTTGATTGATTGCTCATTGTTATCTAACTCAATGGATTTTGTTAAGAACGTTGTCACGTGGGCTTTCTCAACTAACCTTTGAGACTTCACACCTATGTGAAACAACTGAAACCAACCAAGTGATCAGTTGAGAAACGAACACGGGTTATAATATCCCGAAACGATATATATATATATATTTTAAAATATTGAGACACGTGGCATCGAATAAGTTTCTTTGTACAGCTGCAGATGTAAGGGATGTTGTTCCTTTATGTGGATATTCACGGATACATTCCTCGAACAAGGTAGCTGCCTTTTTATATGATATGATATGATATGATATGATATGATATGATATGATATGATATGATGTTTAAAATGTGAATCACTCAGGCAATTTAATAATGTCTAAATATTTCAGTCATTTTACAAATTGACTGAAAAATCTGTCCATTTAATTAACAGATTGACTATGAAATGATGAAGACGTTCAAAAGGGCTTAACACATCAGAATGGATTAATTATGCTAGTATTAGAAGCCAAACAATATAGAAATGTACTTTCAATCCTAATATTTTCAGTCACTTGGTGACATAAAAAATAAAAATGTTTGGAATTCGCTATCATAATGATACAGATGAATTTTTTTCCGTCAATTTGTACAATAACTGAATATTTAGGCGTTTAATAAATTTCCTAAGTGAAAATTTTACACATTTTGACGGTAAAAAATATATACGAACTATAGAATAAGCAATGCTCAGGTGAAATATTTACTTTGTGTTGAAAGTCAAAATAGTGTAAACGAAAATCGCAAAATTACCAAGCAAGTGAGTTATCAAAACTTCGTCACCATTACCGATGCTACCCACAAAGATACCTACATTTCCTTATTATCTCGAAAACTGTTTTTCATTTTGTTAATCAATGTGACCATACGCCCTTATTACTATCCATAAAAGTGACTAATGCGCTTACGAATGACGCAGCACAGGTCGCGAACTAGTCTAGATATCTGCTATACACCCGGGTACTCACGGGGAAAAAATAATAACAAAGGCAACAACCAGTCCCGGGGAATTGCTTTAGATCAGTGCCCCTTTAAGTTAAGCGAAGAGTCCTTGGATGGGTGCTCGCGTTTCGGCAGCTTGGCTCGTGGGAGTTCCTTGGACTTGGGTCCTGCCCTCACACTGAAGCACATGTAAAACATTTCGTGTCTCCTTGGGCAAGTGCAATATGCAATGTGCCTCTGTTCACCCATCATTGAATGGGTACCATGTAGGATGAGATGTCGCTTTATTATCGCAGGAAGCGCTACCTAGTCGAACCCACCGAGAACTTTTCGGTGAATGTGAAGACACCCCAACACTGCAACCTTCTGCATAACCCATATTGTCAGAACGGCTATATTCCTGGTAGCAATACCGGGTACTCTCCCAATGTCAGTCAACAGATTGGGAGGTACCCCACCAAAAATGATTAAATAAATAAATAAATAATAATAATCGAAATAACGAGAAATAACGAGAAATAACGAGCACATAATGGAAGGAAAGAGAAAAAGGTTTTGAGTTATTTAAATTAACTTGAAATAACGAGAAAATAATTGAATTTACGAACATATAATCGAAGTAACAAGAAAAAAAAATCGGAATTTCATAAAAATGAACAAATAAATGCAATAAAAAGAAATTTCGATTCAAAAGAATATAAGCTACCAAAGTGGCACCATTAGGCTTTCGTATTGTTTTTGATAAGTCACTTGCTAGGTATTGTACACTTTTTGTTAATACTATTTTAACACAAACCAAAGATTTTACCTGAGCATTGCTTATCATATCGTGTGTGTATGTTACAGTCATGTGTTACATGACTAAAATCTTCACTTAGGCAATTTTTTAAACGCCTAAATATATTCAGTTACTGTACAAATGGAACGAAAAATCTGTCAATTTATTTTATTATAACGAAATCCAAACATATTGATGTTTAATTTTATTGATGCCTTCCTACTCGTAAAACTGATAAGATCAAAAGGAAACGAAAGTCAAAGTACATTTTTATATTTTTGGCTTCAAATTCTAGCATAATTAGTCTATTCTGATGTTTTATGCCCTTTTAAACGTCTTAATAATTTTCAGTCAATCTGTTAAATATATAGAAAGATTTTTCAGTCAGTTTGTGAAATGACTGAAATATTTAGACATTTTACAAATTGCCTACGTGAATCACATTTTACACATGGACTGTAACATATACACGCCTACAAACAAAAGGGTTTACGAAAACAGCGACTCACTGACTTCCGTCTCGCATCGAAGAACTTCCCAACGACAACGTAGAGGAACAAGAATGATTCTGTTCAATGCTACATTAACAACAAAATGCAAATATCGTAATTACAACCGACCAAAGTTAAATGTACAATATTAGGCAGTTACATTGTTTGAGGAATGTACCCGTCAATATCCACATAAAGGAACAATATCTCATACATCTGAAACTGTACACAGGAACTTGTTCGATGTCACGTGTCTTTGTAACAATCAAATATTATAAAAGGTATATACCGTTTCTGGATATTTTAACTTGTGTTCGTTTCTTAACTGATAACGTAATTTTGTTTCAGGTGTTTGACGTAGGTGTCAAGTCTTATTGGTCAGCTGAGATAGCACTCATGACAACTACATGTATTTTCATGATGTCCACTGCTCTTTAAAACAATCCATAATTGAATTAGATAACAATGAGCATCAATCAACATATTATCGGCTAATTCTTTGAACAAAGTATGTTGTTTTTACGTATGCACTTCACGCCCAGATATGGGTGTATTCCGTCTGCTTTAGTAAACCTACATATATAGACACTTACTTTTGACAAATCCACTGCAAGATAACGGGAAATTAATCTATCAAAGTATTTTCGGTTAATCCTTTGATGGATGTTTTTTTGTAAACTGGCCATTCCTTTCTTGCTGCGCTGCCACGTGCATATTACATAACACGTAATGCATTCACCTGGATTCAATTCAGACCTGGATTTATAAGCCAATCATCGATTGAATAATTACTCAAGACACAAGAAATGCCAAATGGGAACCTTTGTCAGGTAAACTGAGTGATGCTTCCACTGATTATACCTGTAATAAATTCATTAACTGAGGATCAAGTGAATGACGCCAAATACACAGGTGTTGGCTAAACTGGACAAGATTGAGACTGAAATCGCCTCTATTAAATCAAATGTTGCTTTACTTGAGCTAAAAGTGAAAGAGTTAGAAGAGGTAAGGGGAGAGTTAATAAACTAGAAGATTGCATTACCTTTGTTAGTGCAAGCTTTGATTCCTGGGAAAATGATAGACTTCCTATTAATGAAAATATTAAACACCTTTAAGATCAAATATTATCCCAGACTGAAACCCAGGCATGTGCACAGATGGAGAACTTGAGGTTGAATCCCTCATTGATTCCACGTTTAGAAGTATGAGAGATAATCTCATCTTTGCTAACATACCAGAGTCTGACTCTACCCATGAGCAGTGTGGGAAGGTACTGAGACAGTTCATCAAAGACAAGTTATATTTTGCTAACAGTGATGACATCAGTCAATGCTGATAAATATTTATGTGTGAAAAACCCTTTTTGGAGAGATGTTTTAAATGTTTGGGGAAATTACGGCAGAAAATTTACAACAAATTCAGAAAGGATTTCCGAAATTCTATCACAGCCCCTATGGCTAAATCACCAATTTAAACATGAAAACTACAGAATTAAAATTGGTTTAAAAAGGGTATAATGACAATTAAGGACTTATGTAATGAGAATGGATTTTTGCCATTTGAAATATTAAAAGTACGTTATGATATACAGGGTACAATATTAGATTATAATAAGGTTAAACTTAGTATACCTAAAGAATGGAGAGACACTGTCAATCATTATATCAAAATACCAATATATGACTTAAATCTTAGTCCACAATTGAGGGATATATTTATACCCGTTCAAGGATCTAGGTACTTTTATGATAGACTAATTACAATAACAAAACCACCCTTAGTAAATGGAAAATGGCAATCTCTTTTTGATAATGATATTCAATGGAAAGAAGTTTATTCAAATTTCAGAAAATGTACTAAAGATACTGAATTGATTGACTTTCAGTTTAAGTTTATCCATAGAATAATTTACACCAAAAAGGAATTATTAAAAATGAAACTAGTTGATTATAATATTTGCTCCTTTTGTGACTTAAATGGCGAAAACCTTATACATGTATATTGGGAATGTGAATATGTTAAACACTTTTGGAGCAAACTGGAAACCATTTTAAACCTTGACACAAATACTAGGATCTCACTTACCAAATACTCAGTTATTTTTGGATTCGACAAAAATAAACTCTTACTTAATCATATTATAATATCCAGTAAAAGATATATATATATATATATCAAGTATTAAGGGTGAGAAACCAATTTTTGATAATTTTAGGAAAATACTAAAAGAGTCAGCGATGATTGAAAAATTCATTGCCACAAAAAACAATGGTCTATTACAATTTGAACGAAAATGGGGAAAAATCCTACACAAATTAAAATAATAATCATGCCCTGTACAATAAGGCTATAGATCAGTTACGCCTCAAATAGCAATACTATCATAATTGTTTTAGTTATATCTGACTATCGGTACAACTTTTCATGCTCTTCTTGAGGCATATCATGTGTGTGTGTGTGTGTGTGTGTGTGTGTGTGTGTGTGTGTGTGTGTGTGTGTGTGTGTGTGTGTGTGTGTGTGTTTCAGTTATGCATGCT